CTTACAAACAACAAGAAGGGTGATGCAGACAGCAGCAGCAGTATCAGCAATTCTGTGTGGGTGCGTGTACCACTACTGATTGTGGTTACACTGGCCTGTATTCTTGTGTGCTGATTGTAATGTGGTGGTGGTGGTGTGACTCAGGTCATCCTTTGTTTTCTCTTTTCTTTTTTTTGCATGCATCTCTACAGTCTAACTAATCTTCCACCTGTTGGGATTTACTTCTTCTTTTTTTTGTTTCTTAATGTTAATGTGTTTTGTGTGTTTTTGCTGCGTGTGTTTATCCTATAATTATTATTATTGCTTCTTCATTGTGTGTGTGTGTGCTTGGGCTTGTACTGTGATAATATTGATGAACGGCCTTTTGTTGTGAGAAAATGAAATAATAACAACAAATGAATTTATATTTATAATTGCGTATATATACATATAGACGTATACCCATAGTTGGTGTATTTCTGTGTTTACTGTTTAAATTGGGCTAATGGTTAATATCTGTTTCTTTGCTTATTGTTTGCTAGTTGTTTTTGTGCTTTGCTCTGCCCCTATTTGGTAATCGGTTTCTCCTGAGTGAAAACATGTTAACTGATACTCGTTTGTATTTGTAATTGCTTATTAAAGCTATAATACGTTTTTCTTAGTGGTTGTGTTTGTTTGATATAGCATGTTGTTGTGTTCAGAACTGCTTTTCCTTTGGTTTCTATGGTGTTGTTTGGATATTTGTGTGTGTTGCTGTTTATTTTGCTCTTTATTATATTGATGGTGTTTTTTTTTTGTGTGTGTCCAATTCTTTTTTGTATGCTCCTCTATTGATATTCTGTGTCAGTTCTATTCTTTCTTTTTCTTTTTGCTTACATTTCCGTTTTTCTTCTTTAATTACGTTTTTCTAACAAAAAGAAGAATAAGTTCTGTCGCGTTGATGATGCGATCCGTGTTGTGTTTTCTGGTATTGCTTCTATGCGTTTCCTCTGTCTCTTTGGCGGCTCAAGAGGGACCTGTTTCTCAAGTGAATACCACTGATCATGGAGTTTCTGAAGTTACGTGTGAAAGTTCCGAACAACCTGATAAACCTTGTGCTTCTCAAGTACCTGCTTCTTTACCTGTTAAATCTCCTGTTCCTCCTGAGCAGCATGTAGAGATTGGTCCTTCTGTTCTTCAAGGAGTCGCTCATGGTGGTCCTGTTGCGGGTACTTCCTTGCAAAGAAGTGATGCTGCAGCTCATGCGACTGAAGCAGAGCGTAGACAAGTTCAAGATAGACTGAAGCCAGTTGGTAGTCAAGAGGCAGAAAGAGAGGAAGCGGAGACTTTGGTAAACAATAAAAAGGCAGGGGCATTATCATCGTTATCTCCTGAGCAGTCGCCACAAGGTGGTACAGGTGGTCCTGGTTCTGAGGGGCAACAGAAACAGATAGACAGAGTTACACAGGGCTCTCAAGAAGAAAACCGCAACAAAGAAACGAATACTGAAAGCTCGGAATTGCCGACAAATGCTGACTCCACACAACGTCCTACTGCAGATGCACCTCCTGCTGACACAACCCCATCTAATCCACACTCTGGTGATTCAAGCACACCAAATAACCGGAGCGCAGAGCCCAACAGTACCGCTGATACCTTGACAACTTCAGAAGAGAGTGAAGGAACAAATAACGAGATTGCGAATGCTTTGAGTGAATCAACCACCACCACAACAACCACAACACTTCCTCTTGAGTCTGCAAACAACAAGAAGGGTGATGCAGACAGCAGCAGCAGTATCAGCAGTTCTGTGTGGGTGCGTGTACCACTACTGATTGTGGTTACACTGGCCTGTATTCTTGTGTGCTGATTGTAATGGTGGTAGTGTGGCTCAGGTCATCCTTTGTTTTCATTTTATTTTTTGCATACATCCACACTACAGTCTAACTAATCTTTCACCTGTTGGGATTATCTTTTCTTTTTTGTTTCTTAATGATATTGTGTGTTTTGTGTGTTTTTGCTCTCTGTGTTTATCCTATAATTATTATTATTGCTACTACTCCATTGTGTGTGTGTGTGTTCTTGGAGACTCTCTCTGTGTGTGCACCTGGGCTTGCACTGTAATGATGATGATGAACTGCTTTTTGCAGTGGGAAAAAAGAAATAATAATAATAACAGATGAATTTATATTTATAATTGCATATATAGACATATATGGACTTACACCTATAGTTGGTGTATATTTCTGTGTTTACTGGGTAAATTGGGCTACTGTTTAATATTTTTTTTTTTTTGCTTGATGATTTTGCTGGGTGCTTCCTTTTTTTGAGGTATTTGTGAGTGTGGGCTTTTTTTGTTTTTACTTTTACTGAGGTTATTGCGCTGTATTGCATTCTTTAAATGGTAGGTTTTACTTTTCACAATGTGAGTTTCTATAGTGGTAATCGATTTGTGTGTCCTGACGTGTTTGATACTTCATTTATTTTCTTTTTTGCTCTTTTTGATTGTCTTTCTTTTTAGATCAGTGTTTTTACGTGAAACAAACCCTTGTCTCTCTCATGATGATGATGCGCCGTGTGATGTGTGTGTTGGCCGTTGTGCTGTGCTGTGCCTGCGGGTATACCATGACGGCTGCTGCTGCTGGAGAAACACTCGAGCTTCTTTCTGCTACTCCTAACATGGATGAGTTTCCTCATATTCCAAGGGTAACAGAGCCACCAGTGGATAAAAGTAAGAATGTACTTACAGGTGAAGCTCTGCTCACCGGCACTGTTGCGAAAAATGAAGCGGGTGAGGCAGTAGAAAATCAGGAATCATTACTGGGGAAGGTACATGAAGGAGTTTCATTAATTTCGGGAGAGGAAAGAAGACCTGGTGAAATTTCTACAGGTGCAGATCCATCTACTTCATTACAAAGCTCTAAAGGTCAACAGAGTACACAAGAAGGCACCCAGCAAACACAGGTATCAGCGTCACAAACAAGAAGCAAAAACGTATCTGGAGATGTTGATTCCACACAAACCGAGTCACCAGGTGAGTCTGCAAAACCCACTGATGAGAGTAATGTCAATGATAGCATTACTGCGCAGCAACCGTCTACAGCAATGGAGAGCACTGTACCCAGTGATGTTAATTCCGATAACGAATCTACTGTACCTATAGATACAACTGCCACAACTGGTTCTCAAGAGAATGGCAATGCTGATTCAACAGCCACCACCAACATTAACAGCGAAGCACCAACCACCACTCCATCTCCTCTAACCGACCCACCGATCAGCAGTAACATTGCTTCCACTATGCAGATGAAGCCTAATGTTGACAGCAGTGTCAGTCCTGTGTGGATGCGCACTGCAGCACCGCTACTGATTGTGATTGTGTTGTTCTCCGTTACCATGTACTAAACTGTGGGACTCATCTGAGGACAAATAATAATAATGGTTAAACTAACATAATCATAATTGCGTACATACCCCATGGGTGAATGAAATTAATAATATGTTTACCAGCTTTATCTTTTAATTGGAATTTCTTTTTTTTATTTTTGTGTGTGTTTTCTTTTCCTATTAATTCCATTACTTGCTTTTTCCGTTGTGTGTGTGTGCAGAAAACTGGGCTGTTCTGCTCACTGACGGTATACATTTCTTGCTAGTACACAGATGTGTGTGTGCAGTAATTTAATATACATAAACTAGAGCCATGGGGTATTGTGTGTNGATGAAGATGCGCCAAGATCTACTACTCCTATCAGTGAACCTGTTCCATGTGTGTGTTTTTGTTGCTGTAGCGTAATGTGAACCTTGTGCTGATGTTTGTACTTCTTCAGTGAGTGTTGAGTCTCTGCCTGATTCTAGTGTTAGCTGTGTGAATGGTAGTGGACTGCAGTCTGGAATAGTTCCGTATGTTCCTTTGTGATGTGTGTAATTCCTGGTGCTGTTTTCTCTTTATTGGGTGTATTTGCAGTGTTCCTTTCTTGAATTATACTCTACTGGTTTAGTAACATCCATTTCTTTCTCAGCCTTACCGCCATTCTATTGTTGAGATATCTCCCTCTGTGCGCTGACAGAAGACTGCTGCCTACTCCATTGTACTGGTGTGGCTGATAAAAGGAGTTTCTCAATCCATATTAATTGGTCCCTTTCAAGTATGGAAAGAATAAGAGATGACTCCAATGGATCCCGCCATTGGGTTCTCCCTCACTTGAATGAGTCCTGCGAACACCCACCTCAATAGTAGTGGAAGAGGTTTCACTATTCTCTCGTTCTCTCTCTGTGCACTCACATACTTCTCTTTCTCATTGTGGCCGCTTCTAGCAGCAGCCCATACACCTCTTCATCCTCCACTACGTTTAGGCAGCAGCAGCATGAGTGTCCATCATTATAAGCCTGTATGGGGCTGGAGAGTGTACTTGTCCATGCCAGTGGGATCTCATCACAGCAGCAGAGTGAGAGGCACACCGTACAGCTTAAGGAACATCGTCCATAACGATCAACGCAGCATCGGGAATGTTATCACCAACACCATAAACAACTGTGATATCCACAGGCACCAAAAACACCAATGATCACCGTGTGGAAGAAGTACATCATAACAATAACACCAACAACCATAGCCGGAACCGTTGCTACTGAGTATCCAAGAGCAGCGGTGTCGAGATGCAATGTTGCGTGAGATTGAGCGACTCACACGCCTAAAAGCAGCTGTACGGCACGAGATGCACGAAATGCGTCTGCAAGACATCACAAGAGAAAATGCCTTGGGGCAACAATTAGAAGCATTGCGAATAGAGTCTGTTAGACTAGAGCAGCAGCGTCAGACATACACCGCATTGGATGAATGTGGGGAAACAACATTAGAGAAGGAGAAAGTGGTATGGTGGCGTACATCTCAGTTGTTGGAAGCGTGTCTACGAGTTGATGCTCCTTTCATTCCTGCTGATAATGTCACTCCCACCATTACCGTGACTGACTGGCGAAGT